TTGTATTAAAGTTAGTACAAAACTAAGTCATCTAATTTGAAACGGAGGGAGTAATTAATTGATCCCCAGTACGCCTATACGTGGCCCTATTCTGTTGCTCGTCCGCTCGGCTTCTCCGCCCATGACCCTTCTCCGCCGCCGCGCTGCCAGTTGTCGGTGCAGCCAGTCGCTGGTCCGTCCTGGTTGTCCATTGAAACTTTCAAGCATCGCTAGCCGGCCGCCTCAACCCTCGCCCACCGAGAGATTGTTGGAAATTTGAGGTACATCTCAACTCCGCACTTGGTAATTGTCGATCTCTCTCAAATCTGAAATCTCAGGAATTTTATTTTTTTAATTTCTTTTTGTTAATTGTATAGCTAGGGTTTTAAAAGGTATTATAATTGAGAACAATACACTGCTATTCACATCTAATAGGGGAGGATTATTTCACCGAAAACGGCAAAGCACAATGTCGAGTAAGTTTAACTCCCTAATCGTATTGTTCAATCAATATGTTTTGTTTATTGTTTTTATTCTTGCATATGCAAACACAAATAATGTAACTCATACATTTTTGCTAACATAGTACTCCCTCCGTCCCATAATGTAAGACGTTTTTTTGACTCTACACTAGAGTCAAAAAAACGTCTGACATTATGGGACAGGGGGAGTAATAACTATTAACAAGAGAATTTATGGAAAGGTTTCTTAAAAAATGAAATCCTCGGCACAAGATGATATAGCTACCCCATCACATGAACCAGTTCATTTTGGTAAGAAATCTCACTGCCATATAATTTGTGTTGTTGGGTTATGTCAAATTTTGTTCCAGAATATAAGATGTATTGATTTCCGTGCAAGTCAACCATTCGAATGTTTGACCAAGATTATAGAATAAAATAACAACACCTGCAAAACCTAATAGATAAAATATGAAACTATATTTCTTGAAGGCTCAAATGATATAAATTTCGTACTGTGGATATTGATCTATTTTCCAAAAACACGGTCAAGCTTGCACTCGTTTGACTTAAAAAAAGAAACACACCTTATATAAAGGAATGGAGTATATACTATTGCTTGGTGTCTATCCCTGTATATACTATTGCTTTCTGTCTTTGGATCAGCCATGATAGCTAGTTGTCCCGACTATTTGTATCTGATAAAATTATTTGATAAAGCAATTATTTTAGTGCTTAAATCAAGTTTCTGCGATAGTTTATATGATTTGGCACTGATTCTCCCTTTTTTAGTTGCAAAGTTGCAGGCAAATTATTATTGAGCATTGAAACGTGTTAGTTTTTGTCTCATGCTTAATAACGGAAACAAAGGGAGCAAGCCGTTTTGGCTGAAATCAAGTACTGAACTCAAGTGGTAGACTTTTTAAACGAGAGGCCAGAAGACCGACATTTCCATTAATAAACATCATGCATGATAGGAGTTCAACTAAGAGCACGTGAAAATAAAGAATCAGCATATATTTTACTTATTCCAGGAACTGAAGACAACTCAAACTGCTTTCCTAAGCTTATTCTGAATACAAATTGGAGAGGACTTGGCAGCCTCATCTAATGCAGTTGCAACTACCATCTTTATGGCAAATCCCACCAGCGCAGCCCGCTTTTTTACAGGCAGTAACACAGCCTTGTTGCGTACAATCGTACTGGTAGGGTTCCTGTTTGCCGCATATGCCACTTTCACTTTGCAGACCTATAAAGGTAAAAAGGAAAAAATGTGAATCAGAACCGACAGCAGTTCGTAATTAAACTCAGATAATCTGGAAAAAAAATGTACTCGTATTATGCAAATATCATGATAGAAGAGGCGCGCGAATACAAAAACGGGCGCAACAACTAGTGGTATGTTATATCTCATTGTCATCGTTGAAGTTATGATGGAATCAATATAACAGGATGGAGTCAACAACCACCATGGCTAGTACTGGCAGTTCAAGACTAGTATCAAAAACATGTAGTATTAAGATATGTTCCGCGGCATTGAAGGGGTGCTAATCATAAAAACACAGGCAAAACAACCATGCCAATGTTAAAATTTAGATTGTATACTTGAGTCATGGACCATCGAACAAAAACATGCAATAGATTCAGATTTCTCTGTATCCGTGGGTGCAGCAGGCCATGCAATAGATTCAGACATGTCTGTAATTCATAAGTGACCCTCAAATTGACCTTTAAATATAAAACTGGTAGCAATATTATTTCCGACGAATATCATTGGAAACAGGAGAATCAAGCAAGAGGATTTAATCTGGCTCCGGAAACCACAAATTTCTCTATAATAAAGTTGATAAGCTCTCCTGGAAAGAAATGTACCTATGTTGTTTCTCCCTGATACTTGACTCGTCAAGCAAGTGGTCGAAATCAGCAAAAGAGCCATCAAGCACACAAACCTTAAGTTGATTAGAGCCATAACGAAGTTTTTTACTATTTCCTTGATTCCTTCTACTATTGTATTTTTGGTCGTGCTTGTGGTGTTTAGTAGGATCCTTCTGCTGCTGTTTATATAGATATAGAGGCGCCTTGGAGTACCATATTTTTCCGTTTTATTATTATTATTACTTCCTGCATCAGTGTTTCCTTTGTATGGTTCGGGTAATTAATTAAGATCCTCCTGTAATAGGCACATCATGGAATATCCTCTGGATGTCGATTTATTAGCTCCAAAATATACCATACAAAATTATTTACTAGTATCCCGTGACAGGATTATGTTAGTTATTGGCTCCTAAACATTACCATGCGAAATTTATTAGTTTTCCATGACAACATTATGGCATTTATTGGTTCCCAAAAAATACATACAAAGTTATTTACTGCTGTCTCCCAAAAATTACGGCGTTTACTGCTGTCTTCCAAAAATTACATAGTACTTCCTCCGTCTAGGTGTGTATGTCATCTTACGAAAATCAAATAATCCCAAAACACTTAGACGCGGTGCATTAAATTGTACCTCGTTTCTTGTTTCTTGACATATCAACCAATAAGAGAAGTAAGGTGTGCATGCTTTTAATGACTTAAGACTACCAAACACGACATGCAGTGGTTAGTTCATTGCATGCAATGCTATTAATTAGCAAATGAACATTAAGTTTTCTTGTTTTCCCCTCCTCCTTGGTCACGATGCACAACCTAAAATGACTTACTCACCTAGACGGAGGGAGTAGTACAAAAATTATATTGCATTCCGTAACAAGATTATGGCATTTACTGCTGTCTCCCAAAAATTACATAAGATATTAATTAATATATTTTTTTGCGGATGAAATTAATTAATATCCTTAACAAGACTATTGCATTTATTGGCTTCCAAATTACATACACAATTAATAAGTATTCCATCACAAGACCATGCAGTGATCTTTTGACCAGCCATAATACCTCCATCCCAGGGAAATAATTACAGCGTACTCTCAAGGAAATGCAAGCGTGGTCCCTCATGGACTCGTGGTTGCCTGGTTGGACATTAAGGCGGCTGATGCGTGCCCTTAATCAGCCGGCTGACTTAAAGGATTTTCAAAAAAGATAGCTTGTTAATGGTTTCCATATTTGCTTACCTAGGATTCTTGATTTATTCTAAAATTTTCAAATAGTTCCAACAATCAGGGACGGATGCGACCTGAATTACTTCAAAACCTTCTCTTGCACAATGACTATATTGGCTCGTGCAATGCATTGTCCAGAAATAGGCAAATGATATAGAGATTATTCAAGTTATTGATGTGTCGGAATGAACATTATGATTCATCTCATAAGACTACTACTTTCTTACCAGTAGGGGTAGGGTGTGCGTGTGCGTTCATAGGGGTGAGAGTTTGTACTGTTTTCTCAAAAATAAAAACATTAAACATGCTAATAATTTTATCTTTTTGGATCGCCAGTGCATATTGATAACTAACATGGTTTTAGGGATGAGCAGGGAATTGGATGAGGAGATGCAAAATTCTTGAACTCTTACATGTAAAACCAGGAGCAAACAGAACTTGTCTGGTGGCTGAGGAATGGTCATCTGATAGGCACTTTTGAGTTGGGACCAATTGGTATCAACAATTACTGACCAATGATCATCGTGTTGGCATTTTTGTTTTGTAAATGTCACAACCATATGATTAATCTTCCCGCAAAAAAAAACCATATGATTAATCTGTAGAAGCAAGGAAACACAATTTGGTCAGATGTGCATTAGACTTGAAATATATTTTTTGGTGGCAACTAAAAAAGATATATGGTGAATACCTGCCAATGTCGCGTATCTTCATAGTAATGCCACCAATTATTGATTGTTGTGACATAAGTGTTCCTAGGGTAGCTTGAGCATGTGATATTACTTTATCCATCTGCAGCACCATTTGGTGTAAACGTTGTTGCGAAATGAAAATGATTATCGATGAAATAATGGTGCATGCATCTGTTAGAGAAGGGGTTCCATAGAAAGGTCCAAATGGCAAACCTGAGATTATTAAAGGTATGGAATAACTCAAGGAAGAATAGAACTGTGTCTTTAACAATTACAGTTAGTTGCGGAACACCTTAGCAGCATCACACCAAATAAACTAAAGGAAAAAGGTGAAAAAAGACAAGAATTTCAGAATGGTTTGGGGATGCTGTTCTGTTGCCAATCAAGAATGCAATATCTATTTGGGATTATGACTAGGGTTTTCCAAATTTTGTTACTCGGGTGGAGACCATAACATGAAAAAACTGCTTGAAATACCATTTGTCGCCGTGCATGCCACTCCATATTCCTCACAGTCACTAGCAAGAACAAGCACTTGAATAATATTTCTAAAATCTGAATGTGTCCGCCTGCACAACAAAACATAACTTATAAAAGTTACATATCATCGAAATAAAACTGGTAACGCAAGTCTTCATGTTCACAGAAAATAAATAATAATGCAGTTTCTTAACTGTATATCTGACATATCTAAACAAAGTTACACAATCACTCCAAATTTACCAAGATAAATAGCATCTTCCTAGCAAAATACAAGGACACAAATTCTAACAAAACCATGGCATTAATTCCCAGCTCAAACTTCCCTCCATGAAGTTTGAGCTCTCACTGTCAGAGCTGCTCACCGTCAGACTATATCTAATCTTTTGTCCAGCCTTGGAGAACACCAGTGTCTCTGGGTAGACTCGCACTGTAAGAGATTTGGGAATCTCCATCTTCAGTGTGTATATGGAATTTGATGGGCCCACATTTGTCACAGTTCTGTGCACTGTGAACGGCCTTGTCTTGAGTGGCACCGTTATGGTAGGGTAGTTGAGTTGTGCTTCAGGTATCTTGGGAAGCATTTTGGAGGACAACCTCGGGTCACGCGTAATGAATGCCAAGTTCTGATCACCAAGGAGAGCACATATGTAGCCGGCATATTCAGTAATGCCAAGGTCATACACAAGGCCTGGATCAACTGCTTTTGTAGGGTTGACATGGCCAGCACCCATGGCATACGCGGTTGCCCTCTGATGCTGCTCGTCCAGGATCGGGCCACCAGTGCTGTCCGTGATGTCAGCAGTGGTGAGGATGGTTGATTTGATAGCAGCTGCAGACCAGTCAGGATGGCAGCTCTTGACAAGCGCAGCGACACCACTGACATGTGGAGTCAACATGGACGTCCCTGATTTAATGTGGAATGGCCCAGATCCAAGCATGGTGAGTGGTGGCCTTGCAGCAATGACGTTGAGCCCAGGTGCCAATATATCTGGCTTTAGCACACCGGGGCTGAACGTGCCGGGACCACGGGATGAGAATGCCGCGACCGTGGGAGATGGACGGACGCAAAGCACAGTGTTTTTGTAGATGACTTTGGCACTGGCTTTGCTTGTTGTCCTCACATACTCTGTGATATTGTTGCCATCAGCCACAGTCACCTGCACCACATTGCCATAGTCCTCGAGAAGGGTGGTGAAACCAGCAGCTTTCCTGTTTATTAGCACTACACCAGCCGCCCCAGCACTAATGATGCCACTGATGTCGGTCTTGTTGATTGATGGCCCAATGTCATTCATTGGTCCTGTGCTATGGCAAATCACAATTTTGCCGGCCACATTTCTTCCAGGCAATGACTTGCAATGCTTGTTCAAATGCATAGGAAAAGATTTGGGCTTGGAGCTTGAGTTTATAATCTGGTTAAAAGCCTCTCCATTGATGCGATTGTCGTTCCCAAGCTGCACAACAGTCGAGGAGGTCGTGGACGTGGGGAAGAAGTCGTCGTCGGGGAAGTAGTCGTCGGAGTCGGGGGCGTCCGTGACGAAGAAGTCAGTAGTCGCGCGAAGCGCTCCCCAAAAACCTTGTCACCCTTCTCCCGTACAGGACTCAAAAGGTCCGGTTTCGGAGGCCTACTGTCCCGACTCGCGGTGCACGCCGCAAGCCGGGATGAGGAAGACAGCAGTAGCGCAGAGATTGGAACCGGTGGCAAGAGGAAGGAGATGTTCTGGTGCGTCACTCTGAGAGGAGCGACCTCCCTTTTATAGGTGCAAGAGAAGGAAACGAGAGGGCAGCGACGGAAGGTGAAACGAAGAGACGAAGATGAAGCAAACAGCCAGCAGCCGAAGGGCTGCACCGTTCGCATTCAAACTCCATGTAAGGGCATATTTATCCCCAAGGTGTTTTGGTGATTGATGACAATGCTTTTGCGGACTAATCGTGTGCGTTGACATTTTCAGAGATTCATCCTTTGGCACGAGACGATACCCTCCCCTCCGTGTTTTATTCAAGATGGTGCAGCTCCTTTGTTTTTTTGTTGGTGGACTAGTTTCGTAGGAGTCACCGTACTATCAAGAGGGATCCGCTTTGATAAGGCTAGGGGGGAATCAACACGTACACATCCTTATCGCACCCACTGTTCCTTCCCGCTTCAATGGAGTTCTCCTTCCCCTACTGGTTTGCTCTGTCTGGTCCCAGCTGTAGTACCGCGGGCCACAGCGTGAGTACCGCCGAAGCACAACAAGCGGTAGTACCGCTCTTCAGCGGTAGTACCGCTTGCTATCTTCTGCCGTAGTACCGCTGAGGCTCCGGGCTCCTACCGCCTCGACTCTAGCCCTCTTTTTCTTGTGTCGGGTTTTGCGGTACTTGGTGCGGCAGTAGTGGCAGTAGTACCGCTCCCAAGCAGTAGTACTGCCCTTACCACCACATTAGTACCGCTCTAGGTCCAGGACCTTGCTCCCCTCATGTGTGCGGCGGTACCGCTAGGTGGGACGGTAGTACCGCTGGCTCAGCGGTAGTACCGCCCACCCAAGCGGTAGTACCGCTCTCCGCGGGGCTGCTTGGGGGGTAACGGTTGGATTGTTTCCCCCACTATATAAAGGGGTCTTCTTCCCCAAAGTTGACCTACCTCTTCCCCCAAAAGCTCCATTGTTGCTCCAAGCTCCATTTTCGCCCGATCTCTCTCCCTAGCCAATCAAACTTGTTGATTTTCTCGGGATAGGTTGAGAAGGCCCCGATCTACACTTCCACCAAGAGAAATTTGATTCCCCAACTAATCCCTAGCGGATCTTGTTACTCTTGGGTGTTTGAGCACCCTATACGGTTGAGGTCACCTCGGAGCCATAGTCCATTGTGGTGAAGCTTCATGGTGTCGTTGGGAGCCTCCAATTAAGTTGTCGAGATAGCCCCAACCTTGTTTGTAAAGGTTCGGTCGCTGCCTTCAAGGGCACCAATAGTGGAATCACGACATCTCGCATTGTGTGAGGGTGTGAGGAGAATACGGTGGCCCTAGTGGCTTCTTGGGGAGCATTGTGCCTCCACACCGCTCTAACGGGGATGTACTTCCCCTCAAAAGGAAGGAACTTCGGTAACACATCCCCGTCTCCATCGGCTCCACTCTTGGTTATCTCGTGCCTTTACTTGTGCAAGCTTTTTTTGTTGTACCCCTTGCTTGCTTGTGCACTTATTATTGTTGCATCATATAGGTTGTTCACCTAGTTGCATTTTTAGACAACCTACTTTGATGCAAAGTTTAATTTGGTAATGAAAAGCTAAAAATTGTTAGTTGCCTATTCACCCTGTAGGACCTTGAGAAGAGGTGTCTAGAGGGGGGTGATTAGACACTAAGTACCAAAGTTGCAGTTTTTAACCTTTTTAGGTTTAAGTGGAGTTTAGGCACAAGTTTAACATTCACAATACATAACAAGCAAGCATGCAAAGAGTATATGAGCAGCGGAAAGTAAAGCATGCAACTTGCAAGAATGTAAAGGGAAGGGTTTTGGAGGATTCAAATGCAATTGGAGACACGGATGTTTTTGGCGTGGTTCCGATAGGTGGTGCTATCGTACATCCACGTTGATGGAGACTTCAACCCACGAAGGGTAACGGTTGCGCGAGTCCACGGAGGGCTCCACCCACGAAGGGTCCACGAAGAAGCAACCTTGTCTATCCCACCATGGCCGTCGCCCACGAAGGACTTGCCTCTCTAGTGGTAGATCTTCACGAAGTAGGCGATCTCCTTGCCCTTACAAACTCCTTGGTTCAACTCCACAATCTTGTCGGAGGCTCCCAAGTGACACCTAGCCAATCTAGGAGACACCACTCTCCAAGAAGTAACAAATGGTGCGTTGATGATGAACTCCTTGCTCTTGTGCTTCAAATGATAGTCTCCCCAACACTCAGCTCTCTCTCATAGGATTTGGATCTGGTGGAAAGAAGATTTGAGTGGAAAGCAACTTGGGGAAGGCTAGAGATCAAGATTCATATGGTAGGAGTGGAATATCTTGGCCTCAACACATGAGTAGGTAGTTCTCTCTCAGAGATAGGATGCTGGAAGTGTAGGTTTGTTCTGATGGCTCTCTTCATGAATGAAGAGGAGGTGGAGGGGTATATATAGCCTCCACACAAAATCTAACCGTTACACACAATTTACCAAACTCGGTGGGACCGAATCAATAAACTCGGTAAGACCGATTTAGTAAACCTAGTGACCGTTAGGGTTTTCGGTGGGACCGACATGCAAATCGGTAGGACCGATATGGTTAGGGTTAGGGCATAACGTAATCTTGGTGAGACCGATTACACAAACTCGGTGAGACCAACTTTGGTAACTAGCTAACCAGAGAGTTGGTCAGGCAAACTCGGTTGGACCGATTACTCAAACTCGATGGGACCGATTTTGGTAATGAGTCAACCAGGAAGTTTGCATTGTAATCTCGGTAGTACCGATTGCTCAAACTCGGTGAGACCGATTTTGATAATGGACATACACAGAGATATTACAATCCCATCTCGGTGAGACTGAGATCCCTATCGGTGAGACCGGTTTGCCTAGGGTTTGTGGCAGTGGCTATGACATCAAAACTCGGTGGCGCCAGATAGAAAGAATCGGTGGGGCCGAGTTTGAATTTAGGTTTAGGACATATGTGTGGAAATGGGAAAGTAGTTGAGGGTATTTGGAGCATATCACTAAGCACTAAAGCAAGAGGCTCATTAAGCAACACCTCATCCCTTCTTGATAGTATTGGCTTTTCCTATAGACTCAATGTGATCTTGGATCACTAAAATGTAAAATGAAGAGTCTTGAGCTTGAAGCTTGAGCCAATCCTTTGTCCTTAGCATCTTGAAGAAGTTCCCACATCCTTTAGTCCATGCCACTCCAATGTTAAACTTGTCTGAAATATACTAGATAAAAGTGTTAGTGCAACAAGAGATATGTTGACATTAATTACCAAAACCACCTAGGGAGCACTTGTGCTTTCAATCTCCCCCTTTTTGGTAATTGATGATAACACACATCAAAGCTTTAGGTAAAGGTATAAAGAATAGCAAGTAAAGCTTTGGAAAGACATGTAACAAGCATGGGCTCCCCCTGCATGTATGCAATCATGTGAACATGGAATATAGAAGCATGTGAGAGCATAACCATGATAGAGCAGGCAATGTGTTACATGTATCTTGGCCATATGCATCAGAGCAAAAAGTATTAAAGGAAATACCTTCATGCCCATGAGTCCTTCTTGCAAACAGTATGTACATCATCAAGAATTCCTCATACACATGATTGTGATGCATATACTTACCTTGTAGTCTTGAGTTGGCTTAGGATGGAATGAACCTGTGTAAACAAGGTTAGATAACATAGATACATCTACTAGCCAGAGCAAACAGAAGAAACCACAAGAATACCAAGACTGGGATGACATGTAGAGAGTGAGTACTAAGTACCATATTTGATTAGACATGTCCCCAAGAGTAAAGATATGCAATGAATTTGAATGATTTCTTTCCCTTAGATGTCTTGCTCCCCCTGAATCTAGCATGGGATATTGGGAGAAGATAGGGAACAGAAAATCAGAGCTGGAAGATATATAAATGAACCGAGCTAATGCAAGCTAATGCAAACAAGCACATATGAACATGTCTTTCCCCTCAAGAAGACATGTGGCATCTCTCCTCTTGAACACCAAGCATCTGGGATCCTTGAGAAATACTTTCTACTTGAGTATTCTCTCCCCCTGGAGATCTCTTTCTCCCCCTGAGGAGGTGATATATTTTCTAATGTGATCTCTCTCTAAATGATAAGCTTTGATGTGATCTCTCTCTCCCCCTTCGACATCAATTTCCAAGCAGGGTTTGATCCTTGAGCCACAGCACAAAGCATTTATAAAAATGTGATTCTTGTAGAAGACAAGATTCATTGAGTGGAGCTGGATTAAAAGAAACACAAAATAAGTGGCAGACTGTTTTCCTGGTTGGACCGAAAGGATTCGGTTGGACCGAAAATAACAAATCGGTGGAACCGAGTTCATCGCAGAGAAAACACTTGTCACCTCAGCTCACTAGACTGATAATATCTCACAAAGATTTGCAAGGAATTAACTGAATGATATGCAATGAATTGGATGCAAAAAATGCAGAACAGAAAGAAATCTAGATGAAGTTTTTTTTGAAAGGGGAAACAAATATGCATGAGTCAAATGCAAAAACACAGAAAAGAACACAAGAGAACTTCATCTAGAGATGGTCGGTGACAAAGTCACCTATGTTAGAGTATATTTACTTAGGAGTCAAGTGAGATCACTTGATCATAGGTCATACTCATCGTTTAAGCTCAAAATGGGGTTGCCATTTTTCGTTTAAGCATCTTGATGTATTCACATCTTGTCGAGTTGCTTTAGCTCATGACTTGGAGTAAAGCTTCTCTAAGATGGAATAACATACCTTGGTTGGTGGTGTTGTCCATGTAGTTGAACTTGTGTGGGTTTCTCAAGGTTGATGTAGCTCATCAAGAATTTGGAGCACCAGTTGGAATTTGAGTCCATCTACCTACATGGGTTAGTTCTTGCAAGGAAGAGCACTTGTGTATCCAAAAATGACAATCATGAAGCTCAACATAGAATTTGTCAAAGGATATGTTTGAATGGTTTCGTGCTTCCTTGGCTTCAATCACCTTAGTGTAGAGACTTGGTGATATAGATATTGCTCAAGGTATGAGTAGGTTACAACCTCATGGAATTAGATTCATCCAAGTACCTACATGGGTTAGATAACATGGAAGATACAAATATATCCAAGACATAAGATTTTCATCATAAGAGAGATATCAAGGATTAGTCATAAGCTCATGTCTTACATGTATCCAATGGAGTTTCTACTCCAAGATTGAAGCATCAATGATGTTCAATTCTCCTCTCAACCTGCAAAACACTTTCTCATCAAGAGGTTTTGTCAGGACCCCGACTCAATGCCACATCGATCTAGCATGTAACACCTCATATCACTTTGCGGCCTCACGCACGGTATTCCCACGGGTGTCGCCTTACCTTTGCCCGGGACCGTTTGCGCCTTTTGGCACACGTATATGATAGTGTCGCTAGCATCCATATCATAAGGAGCCCGGGCTGACATGGCTAGTCATAAACCCAAAGTGGCACATACTTACAGGGACAGGCATCCATGACCCAACATCGAACGTGTCGGTCATCAGTGAGTGAATCCAGGCTGTAGCACTTGTCTAGCAGGACTCCGGTAAACCGGGCTGTAGCGGGCTAACAGGACTCCGGTATTCATCGCGTGACATTTCCCCATAGGGACAGACATAGGAACGAAGAAGGAAACATGCCGGACAGCCTAAGTGTTCCGGAGCAGTAGCAAGCTACCATGGCTCAGTGGAAGCACTAGGAGACATTTCTCGGTAAGAGAGGCTACTAAGGATAAACAACTAGATAGTCAGATCCCACACATACCAAGCATTTCAATAACATACACACAATATGCTCGATATGTGCAAATACAACATGGCATCACAACATGACTCTACAGCTCAAGTATTTTATTCAATAGGCTCCAAGGAGTGAGATATTACAAACATGGGTCTCATGACCCAACATTCAGAGCATACAGATCAAGCACATGCGGAAGCTTATCATGTCTGAGTACAGACATCTACAAATGAAAAAGGCTGAAAAGCCTGACTATCTACCAGATCCTATCGAGGGCACAAGATCATAGCTGAGGTAACAAGATAAACGTCGAAGTCCACGTGGAACTACTAGCGAGACTGAAGTCTCTCTGCAAAAACATAAAATAGGCAAACGTGAGTACAAATGTACCCAGCAAGACTTACATCAGAACTAACTACATATGCATCATTATCAACAAAAGGGATGGTGAGGTTTAACTGCAGCAAGCCATCTTTGACTCAGTGGCTATCTTAAACTACGACTGCAAGTAACTCTTTTGAGGTGGCACACACGAGTCCACATATTCACCATATCAATACACCACTACGGATCCGCTCCCGTCTCCCTACGAGAACGCCATCCATAGCACTCACGCTTATCTTGCGCATTTTAGAGTATCCACTTTCACTTGTCTATGAACTGTGCAGGCAACCCAGAAGTCCTTCACCGCGGACACGGCTATTCGAATAGATGATGTTAACCCTGCAGAGGTGTACTTCTTCACACACGCTCTCACCACTTACCGCCGTTTACACGACATGTACTCGGCAACCTTCAAGCGGAAGCCCAACGAGGGTGTCGGCCAAGACCTACCTAAACACTCAAGTCTCTAGTCCAGGTTTTTCGCCTATTCGGGTTCCATCCGTGAGGAGATCCGGTCGGAGTTTCGCTCACAGCCCCAAACGATGTGTGCAGGGTTCCTAAGACACCAAACGGGCGCCCGGTACACCGTGCCACGTGCCTACCGCATCACAGCCCACCCCTCCGGTCAGCGCTACGCACGGCCTCCAGCATACTACAAACACCAGAAACTACTTGCAACTCCTGGACAGAGGACAAGGGTGAATAAGAAGCCGAGAGGGTCCATTGGTTTCGGGCCCAATGCGTGGTAGTATCTGTTTCATGGATCACAAACACAGAACTCAGTTCCTGAGGACAGTTTCAATGAGACAACCCACCATGTACTCCTACATGGCCTCTCATCGCTACCTTTACCAAATCGTGTTCACACTCTTTGCTCACACACACAGTAGGACATGTTCACGCACCTCTGATTCATCCCGGATGAATCAGACCTGACACAACTCTAAGCAATAGCAGGCATGACAAACAAGCATAAATGAGTTGGCACATCAGGGCTCAAACAACTCCTACTCATGCTAGTGGGTTTCATCTATTTATTATGGCAATGACAAGTCATGCAGAGAATAAAGGGGTTCAGCTACCGCAACAAGTAACAGATGAATCGCTGTTGTCCTAATGCAGTAAAAGAGAGCAGGAGCGAGAGAGTGGGATTGTATCGGAATGAACAAGGGGGTTTTGCTTGCCTAGCACTTCTGAAGATACTATATTTCTTCATTGGTGTCATCGATCACATCGTCGGTACACGTCTTACTGAGAGGGGACAAGCACCGATAAACAAAGAAGAAGCACAATCAATGCAATGCACAATATGATGCATGATCATGACATGGCAATATGCCATGGTTTGAGCTAATGCAACTAGCAGCAAGTTAAATGAAGTTGGTTTGAACCCTATGTTCAAATTCAAACTCCACATGAGGCATTTCAAATGCCATTTATTCAATTTGTTGTATGCAGCAGATTTAAGTTGTTCAAACATGCATCAAAATGGTACAAATGGACAGATTGGATTTTTCTGATCATTTTTCATATATAATTCATTCCAATCTGAGTTATGGATTATTTTCTATGAATTTTTGAAGTTTGCTACATTTTCTGGAATTTCCTATATAAGAATAAATCCAGTAAATGCTTTATTGCATCAGCAGTGCATCAGGGTGACGTCAGCGGTCAACGGGGCTGGTCCAGGTCAAACTGACCTGTGGGCCCTGCGTGTCAGTAGTTAGTTTAACTAACTAATATTAGTTAGTGCTAACCTAAATTAATTAGCAGAGCGGGCCCCACTTGTCATTGACTCAGGGGGGAGTCAACCTGGGCCCACCCAGTCAAGGTCAACGGGTCAAACCCGCCGGCGTCATGACGCCGGTGAGGCCAGACACGGCGGTGCACTGCGGGATCCGCTTACAGGGCGCCGTTTGGCGCGCGAAGCACAGCTACGGGATGCGGACGCTCGTCCGCATCCAACCGTGGTGGTGGCGCGGCCGGGGAGTGGTGCCGGTGACGAGCTCGGCG